ACAATCACAATTGTTATTAACACTTAATATTTCTAAGATATAGAAAGATAAGAAATCCTAAGAACTTATGCAATAACAATTATAAACTTTAGCTTCAAATTTGTGCTCAATGTTATTCTTATGTAGTGTTTTAACCTTCTTTCAAATCTTCAGCTCCCTTTTATAAAGGCATAAACAAAGTCGTTGGAAGGTGACATGCATATGAGTTCTTAGTTGAGAAGCAATCCAAGAAAGGCGCTGGAGGAGTAAATAAGTTAAGATTATTGTCTATTGAGTAAAAGCATTTTCTAGAGCTTCTTTCTCATACTAGGTATCTACCAAAAGATTGAGGAAGACTCAAGAGGCCACATCACCATTCCTTGATCCTTGCAAAATGAAACCCTAGTTGACTTCCTCCAAAATCTAGCTTTTGAAAACAGGGGTCTACTTTTGAGATAGAGTACGGGTCAGATGTTAAACACCTTTAGCTAACGTCTTCAGAGTTGGAGCTTTCACCAAAGGCAGGGATACCATGATCGAATTTTGATCCTTCAGAAGCTGATACACACGTTCAAAGTCATCAGATTCTGATCTTTCAAAATCTGATTCATTTTGCCTCTCTTCATATGCTTTTATCAAGGTCAATTCATAGTTAAATTTTAAGCTCATGATCCTTCATACTTGAACATATGTTAGTATATTCAATTTTTTTAAGTACTTTGTTATCATCAAATTCCAAGGGATATGAACAATTTTGTTCCAACTGTTTTGGCAAAGATTAAAAATGTATTGAAATATTAAGAAATTATATATATTACACTTCATTAATATTGAGACACAATTACGTACACTTATTTGTCTGACTAAACAAAAAATTTAAACGAATCGAAAGATTTGTCATTGGCTAAATCTATGGGTGGTACCCCCTTTGAATTTTGTGCATTTGATTCTCCTTCAATGTTGCTCAATTTCTCAAACTCTTGCATCCTTTCCACAAAAAGGTACGACCTAGTCTCGGCTTTTGTTGTTGAATGAGCTTCTCACTCTGGTGATGTAAGTGGTATAGGGCTTCTCGGTTTCAAGTAAACTTTAACAAAGTGCCTTGATTTTAAAACCACCCAATATACATAATACGATCATTTGGATTTTGAGGTGGGGCAATGCGTAGTGGGAAAAAGTTTCTGAAAAACAGTATCATGTAAGATCAATACACACTCTATCATACGCACATGCTATGAGGTGACTCATTTTAGGGAATCACGTCCATTTTCCCTTTGGTGTCGGTCCACTAATGTAAGGAATGAGAGATTTGTAAATTGCATTAAAGTTTTCTTTATTTCCATAAAGTCGTGTGTATGATTCTTTATGAATTCTTAACTCATGGATAATTTGATGGCAGACAAGTGTGTGATTATCTTCTCCTTTACCGAGTAAATTTGAAATATATTGATAACCATAATTACCATCACCTTCAACATTGACGATCCGCTCGATGTATTTGTGCATAAAAATCGACATCTCGTCAATAAATGGAATCGTTGGTCGAGGTGGAAAAGAAGGTGATTTGCTAATGTGAGCTCCTTTAAAAACACTTTTTTGAGATTTTGGAGTTGGTGAGTCCAGAAAACTTTGTCAACATGTTCAAAAAATGAAGGAGATCGCACTATTAAATTGTCACTCGGTGTAGGCTTGAGATTCTTTGGAGCACCTTTTATTTTTGCCGGTTGAGAGGGTGGTTTCAAGTCAGTGATTTTCGGATAAGCAATCTTCCTCAATTCTTCTTTGATGTGGAGTTTCATATCGTCACCGACTTTCAAAAATCTCTCTTGTATCACTTCCCTTTCAGTAAAAATAAAGATATTCGATTTACCGTCTTTCATGACACCATCATCATCATCAAATCTAAGCCTCCTCCAGTGAGTGCAAACCTCATCCATTCTTATTGGGCTACCAAGTTCCACCTTCTTTGTAATAACACAAGTACATGGAAGACCATATATTTTCACAATTATTCATCCACACTTTGCGCAATCGGTGCCTACGTTATCAACTTGTTTAGCTTCATGAAAAATATAATTCACATCCGCTCAAGATATATTGCCGACCAACTGAGAATAAATATTGTTGTCTTTAATCCGTGTTCCAAAATTGTGATGCTCCGACCAAATGATGTTTGTATCTCATTATGTTGGTTCTGAATCATTTGGTTCACAGAGTCTCAATGTCTACACAAATCACTCTTACTATTTCCCAACCAATTCTTCAATGTAGCATGGGCTAACTCTACTCGGTTTGTTGTTGTATTTCCAATGTGTCTATCCTTATCGGTCCACGCACAAACAATTTTCTCCTTTACCTGGTCAAGAATTGTGCTTTCAACATATTTCAACAAATCAGGATATTTTTCGCACACCTATTTGAAATGTATAACGGAATCAGCATATAACTCTTTAATGGAATAATTTACTATATCATTCCATGCATTCGTTATTTTTTTCCACAACAATACTCGTCTTCACCATTTTTCCATTGTCGGACTTTATCTGTTTTGTTCCTACCGTGGGTTTAACCCGAATTCTCATACTATTTGTTATGTTATACCTACAAAATAATGCATAAGAAGTATGAAATGCCTTTGCAACCGAATTCATCAACGCGGTATCACGGTCGGTAACACATCTCTTCTTGGTCCTTCAACATTGTTTAACACACCTCTAAGGCTTAAGTAACATTCTACTTTTTTTCGCTCTCTAGAAATGCAAACCCGGCGTAATAGGTCTTCTTAGTAGAGGTAACACCAATTATCTCCAATAATAGAAGTATGTACTTGTTTGTCTTGTACGTTGAATCAATTAAGAGCTCAGTAGGAAACGTGTTGAACAACTTGATGAAATTAGGATGAGTCTAAAATATATCTCTAACAGTTACTCCATCCTAGCACGTTCGATACCTAGACACATAATTTTTATCATCTAACAGTTTCAAGAGTTGTTGCATTTCAGTTCTACCCCCCTCAGCGCTTTATTAGTTTGGTATTGAATATTCTACACTTACTTGATATTTGAGATATTTTTAGATCTTTTACGTTTCAAAGTTGCAAGTATATTTTTCGGTTGACGAAAATTCAATGTCATGTCTGTAATGTATTCCTTCTCTTCTGGCATGAGGCAATTTACAATTGGATGGCCGACTAACTTTTCACACAAGTAATGATTATGTAAACCACATATGACATTAAATCTCAATTTCTTGTTTGCCAAACATATAACCACACAACTTAAAAGGACACTCACATTTTCTTGAATAGATGTCATCTTGTTTAAAATTTCGGAGAGGAGGTATATATTTCTCATTTTGTTCGCACGTGATTGTCACAAATGCACATCTTATATCCGAACCATTATCGGACCTTCCGAATATCACACTAAATTCCAGTTTGAAAGCCTATGTACGAATCTAATGAAACATGTGATCACGAAATTCAAACTATTACTCATTTTTAAATTGGCTTCCAACTGCTGGGGGAGAAGGAGGAGCATCAACATTGGATCAAGAGCAACACAAGTGAGAGAGACACCACATATTTGTTGAAAAAGAATTACAAGTGTGTGGATAATAGTCCCACATTGGATAGGAATATGGTGACTTGAGCATTTATAAGTGAGAGAACCCACTCACCTATCACCTTAAAATTTTGGGTGAGTATGTGGTGTGTCTCTCACAAAAGTGTTGTTCAAGAAAAAAAGTCTCACAATATTCAATGCTCCCTAATGACCCAACAAATGGTATCATGAGTCTTTGGTTCGAGTAAAAGGATTTGAAATGCTCAGGAAGAGGTGTATTGAGTTGCTCAACAAATGGTATCTTCCATTATATTATTTATGTTCGAATTCGGCTAGATGCTAATAATACTTGTGTTGTGCCAATTCATACATAACTTTGTTGTGACTTTAATCAAACTCAACCGTGGGATTGTTACCAAGATTTAAAAATAAAAAATAAAAAAATGAATAAATAAGGTCAAGAATGTTTCATGGCATAGCTTCACGTAGAGCTTATCCTGCTTCCAAATTCTACCTATATCATTTTGATTCTTCTTGAATCACTGAACAACATCATATGCAAATATATCTAAGTTAACTCAAATAAGTAAATATCTAACCAAACAATACATTTTATAATTCTTCTGTTAAAATAAGACTTATAACCTATCAATAGATAATTGCCAGATAAAATATCTTTGTCCTCTTGTGAAATGTTGGATCAAACTTTACTATGGTCGAAGAGTAGCTTCTGATTCGACAAGAATTAAGCATGGGTCGAAGCATATTCGTATGCTGTTGTCGGAGTAATGCGTGTTGGAGTCGAAGTTTGTTCTAACATACATTAGTCAATATTGCTAGGATTGTTAGCATGCTGAATTGAGTCTTACTTGTAAGTTCAATTGTTTAAGTTAACTTGTACCCTACGTTAGCTTGTAATTGATAATTATTAAAAAGTCTATTAGGTTAGTGTGTTATTTTTTTTATAAATAGGATGTTAGTTTCTCAATCTTGGCATAAGGAAAAATAGGAAGATAAAATCATAATTTCAAGAAAGAGATGTTATTTTGTTATTCTTGTATACTTGTAATATTGTTTCTAAGATTAAGGAGAGAATAGCAGTTTATAATCAATCCTTATTGTTCCTTGTTGTTTTATCTTGTTTTCTTTGTTAACCCTAATTTTTGTGTGTTTCTTGATTGTGAAGAAACCGTTTATACTTTGTTTCAAGGTATCTGATTCACAACACCTCTAATAAAACTACATAGCCCATTCAACAATAGCAATTATACAAATCCAAATTTAAAATAAACATGTATAAGTTGTAAAAGTTTTTATATTGTCTGATTAGAAGACTTCTAGTGAAATTAAATTTACAATTATTTGTCAATGATTAACTTAGATAGCTTTATTACGTGCTCATGAAATAAATGACAGCCATCAGCCATGGATGAAACTCAGCAATTAGGAATTAGTAGATCACTTTGAATGAGCCGGAAACATGCTTAGCTCCTGAATCACATCCACCATGTTTGGTCTTTCGTCAGGGCTCTCATGGACACACTGTACTCCAAGCTTTGTAAGCGTCATGGCTTCAGAACTAGAATATCTTCCATTAAGATTTGTGTCAATGCAATCATCAAATCTGAGAGACTCAAACGCGGTGCGTATCGAACCACCTATCGCTGTCTTGCCAGATAAAACTTGGAGTACAATAACGCCAAATGCGTATATGTCACTCTTCTCTGTAAAGCGCCCGGTGGTAATGTATTCAGGAGCTAGGTATCCCATGGCAGCACTTACTTTTAGAGCTGAGAAAACAACATCTTCTGCGAGAAGTTTAGGAAGTCCAGCATCCATGATCAATGGATTAAACTCTTTGTCAAGGAGAACATTCTCCACTGAAATATTCTGGTGTACTATTGTGGGTTTGCTTGCTTCATTGCTGTGCAGATATCCAATACCTGATCATAAAGGAGTAGCAAGTATCAAACATAAAGAAAACAGCAAGTATCAACATTCTTTCTGCTATTTTGTTAATTCCTGAACAACTTACCCTTTGCAATGCCCTTGATGATAGAAACCCTCTTGGACCAGTCAAGCAAATGGCCACTTCTATCTTCCATGTCAAGATATTGAGACAGGTCGCCCATCGTGGCAAAGTCATAAATAAGGTAACATTCACCTCTACTACTTGAGCAACAGAAACCTCTTAGCTTAACAACGTTTTCATGTCTAAGTGATGTTAATAAACTCAATCCCTTTGCAAATTCGGCCTCCTCGGTTTTGCAACATGTCATGTTAATGCTTCTAATAGCCACAAGAGAACCATCTCTGAGAACTCCTTTATACATTGCTGAGAATTTGCTCTTACACAATAAATTCGCTTCTGAAAGATATTGTGTTGCAGACTCGACTTCCTCAACATTAAACCTGAATTTGTTTAGATATTCATTGGCTAATCCACCAGCTTTTTGATCGCCGGCCAATGGATAACATCCATTATAATAGTCAAGATTAACAAGGGTAGATGGGCTTTTTCTGTATAAATCTTTAGGCTGCTGAGGACTAAGTTTCCCTTCAGAATAGTTCGAGGAAATCTTCTGCTTTCGCCGGCGGTATTTGACGAATGTAAACAATCCAACACCTATGAATACAAGAGTGATGATTATAGCACTTGCAGTTGTGATGACACTTAAAGGAAACCTTCCTGATTTTGAGCAATGTGTCTGGTTACAATGCACTGGGATATTTGCAGGCTCCGGGCGAGGCGTTGCGGGATTATTATTTTTGAAGTGGTCTTGATCCGAGGTATCAATGTTGCTGACGTTTAAATCTGGATACTCGTTGCAAGCTCTCAAAGAAGAAAGTCCTACTCCGCATAAACCTTGGTTGTTTGCCCCTTGGAATCCTTCCCCAAGTCTCTTCAATGCTTCATGTTCATTTTCAAATGTTAGTTAGGATTTACACTATAATTACAAAGCTATCAAGTACGACACTTCAGATTGAAGGTGTGTCAGGTTTCATAAACTGTTGGTGTCTGACACAAGCCACCGACACACGTGATTACATTCAATCAACTTATTTTCTCAAATTAATGTCGGTGTGAATGTGTCAGTGTCTGTGTTTGCGTCTATACTTCATATTTATTAAAAGAACGGGGGATAGAGGCATACCAGAAGGAACAATTCCTGATAGAGAATTGTTTTGAATATCCAAAACTTTCAACTGAGCAACATTGGCTAGTGTTGCAGGAATAGTACCACTGAAGTTGTTGAAGCTCAAATTTAGCCTGCTTAGTTTCTCCAATTTCCCCAAGCTAAGGGGAATTTGACCATCTAATTTGTTATATTGCAAAGCAAGAGTAGTAAGCTGCTTCAAGGAACCCATCTGTGTTGGTATATTCCCCACCAATTGATTATCTCCCAACTGGAGTACTGAAAAAACAATTCAAAATCAATTTACTTCACTTCAGAACCAAACACACGCGTAAAAATTGAGCTTGGATCAATATACATGACTTGAAACAAGTTGACTCATTGAAAACACCTAAATCCATCAAAATTCAAAAGGAAGACACGTGAGATTTCAAAATCTATTCAAGTCCAACACAGTAATACAAACTCTCAACTCTCAAGTAAAGTCATATACCAAAAACAACACCTAACAGATGTAAAAGTACCTTTTTTCTTTTTTTCTTTTTTTTTTCTATTTTTCACTTTACAAAAACTCACAAGAGAATGATCTTGCAAACTTAAACAACTATTAAGAACTTGAGACTAAAAGACTGTACTTATGGACTATATACAATTATACATACCTTGAAGACTAGCCATGTTGCCAAACTCAGGAGGAATAGTTCCAGATAGACTATTAACATCAAGATAAAGATCAACAAGATCAGTGAGGTTTGAAATCTGTGATGGTATCTCACCAGAAAGATTGTTGTAATGCAAGTATAACCCTGACAAGCATTTAAGTTCAGCAACAACCGGAGATAATGAACCAGAAAGTCCCTTTCCCTGCAAAGAAATATTGGCCACTTTCCAATGATCATTGCAAGCAACTCCTACAAATGAACCACTACATGGATTACCATCACTGATCCATGAAGTAAGAATCTTTCCCTCTGGATCAAGAGAGGATTTCAAGTCCATCAAAGCCCTGAGCTCAGCATTTCCACAAACAGTTTGTGAGGTTAAAAGTGAAAACAATAGAAACATAGAAAGGAGAAGATGGAAGAAACTCATCTCTGAATTTGGGTTAAAAAAAAGACACCCTTTTGAGATCTTATGTTAAATAATCAAACTTTGATTTTGGGTTGATTCGGACAAGTACCTAATTTGAAGTTTGTTTTGAGACTTAATAAATTAATGGTTTTGGATTTTGTTAGTTTGTGTGAATAAATTTAGATAGAGAAAAAAGTGATTAAAAGGAGAAGCAATTTTCAAAAAAGGATGCATAATTAATGGATTTAACTTTATGAGTTGATGACAGAGAGAGACATAGGTAGTGGTTTGGTTCACATTGCATGAGTCTTGACTTTGAACAGTTTTTGGGGGGAAATGGGAGTTTATTATGATGACATTAGTGTTTGGTGGGAATGGCTACAATACCACTCTTTGCGGAAAATCTTGGTGGAGTTAATTAAAGCATGAATACGATGTGTGGTATTGTGGGGCTATAATCTTTGACTATTTTGTTTGCACTTTTCAATCATGAAGTTTCTAGTGAGTTAGTATTGTTTGTCTAGTTGTAGTGTAGTGCACTTGGTTGGTACTGTTTACTATTTTGAAGTTAATGAAAATATTGGAAATCTTAGCATTTTCAGCATCTAGATAGGACCTCGTCTGAGAAGTGCCTAACAGAGATTGTGAGGTGGGTGGACAAAAGGAATTGAGGCAATTTGATTATGAGGTGGATAGTTTATGTTTGAGGCATGTGTCTTGATTCAAGGTGATCTCTAGAGAGTCTTAGGCAGACAATGAGAGAAATTTTTAAAGATTCTTATACTTTAAGAGTATGGATGATCTTTAGTTGTAATGTAAGAGTTGATGTGCTACATGAATTTATTAGGTAGTTTTTGGATTCAACTTAATCTTATCGTGTTTTTTTTATATTAAAAGAGTTTTTGATGTCGTCAAAAACAAATTAAAATATAAAAAAAATTAAATTTTTTGAACAAATACAAGAAATTATATTAAGTTTTATAAAAGAGAGAGAATAAGAAAGAAAAAAAAAAGAATTGGTTAAATTTGTTTTTCTATTCACTTTTTCAATAAGGGTTCAAAGATTACAAGTGAATACTAACAATTAACCTCTCTCAACAACCTGAGAGAACTAATCTATTTATAGACTACTAAGCTAACCTAACAATTAGGCTTAAAAGTAAGACCAAATTCGGCATACTAACTTAAATTACAAGTTAATATATTTCGACAACTCTTGTCGAACCATGAAGTTACTCTTGCCGACACTAGAGTTCGACCTGAATACCACAAATCTCCACTTTGCAACGAACTTTATAACAAGGGAACAAACTAACTTTCATCGTGCAGCTTTATCAACGGCATACAGTGGAAAAACAAGCTACTTAGCAATATCTTGGTGATCATATCAGCAGCATTGTCATCAGTCGAAACCTTCAGCACTTGTACTTCTCTACGCTCAATTATCTCTCTGACAAAGTGCAGTCTCACATCAATGTGCTTGATTCGCACATGATATGTTGAATTCTTCAACAGGTGTATTGCGCTTTGACTATCACATTTAATAGTGATAACTCGGCCTTGAAGTTTTAGCTCTTTAGCAAAAGCTTCAAGCCATAATGCTTCTTCCACAACTTTAGTAAGGGCGATATACCCAGCTTCAGTGGTTGATAAGGCAACAACATTATAAAGTGTTGCTTTCCAATTAATTGTTGTGCCAAACATAGTGAACACATATTCAGAAATAGATTTCTAGAATCCATACAACCTATATAATCAGAGTCGACAAATCCTTTGATTTCGACTTTACTATTATCACCACAGGTTCCACCATAAATCAGGACTCGGCTCAGAGACCCATTTATGTATCTAAGAATCCATTTTAATGTTTGTTAGTGTGTATTCCCCGAATTTGTTGTATACCTGCTTATAAGGCCCACTCTGTATACTATGTCTGGCCTCGTACAGACCATATGGAATGTTATTCATATATACTTTTTCGACTTCAGTACTAGGGCTTTGAGTCGTACTCAGTTTGTAGTGAGGATTAGTCGGTGTTATAACATGCTTTAAATTCGACATATCAAACTTATCGAGAATCTTCTTCAAGTATGTCTCTTGAGATAAGCATAATTTCGACTGTTTTCTATCTCTCCGGATGTCAATCCCAAGAATTCTGTGATGGGTCATCATGAGGGAGAAACATTCACATTAAGTCAAACACTAACCTAAAGGTCAAAGACTCGTCCAAACAAGTGAGAGACACCACATATTCACCCAAATCTTAAGGTGATAGGTGTATAGATCCTCTCACTCATAAAGTGCTTAACTTCCACTTTTCTAAGCAATGTGGTACTTAGAACTCACATTTGTTTCTCAATACAACTCACATTTGTTTCTCAACAATCTTCCCCTCAAGTGTGAGTTCATCCACTATGTTCCCCCTCAAGCGGAAGCTCTTTCGTCCACATGTTTATACCATCGTTGAAAGACATCCTTATCTCTTCATGGACACTTTAACGAAACACGTTGCTTGACCACCATGTCAGGGAGACTTTTGACACAAGGAGCCGATCCCTTACTCGAACCACGGCTCTGATACCATTAATGGGTCATTGTTGAGAAACAAGTGTGAGTTGTGTGAGAAATAAATGTGAGTTCTAATCTCACATTGCTTAGAAAAATGGAGGTTAAGCACTTTATAAGTGAGATGACTCCTACACCTATCACATTAAGGTTTTGGGTGAGTATGTGGTGTCTCTCTCACTTGCTTGGATGAGTCTTTGACCTTTAGGTTAGTGTTTGACTCAATGTGAATCCTTTGTTGGGAAAATAACAAAAACAACAAATTCCTACACACGTGGAAGCATACCCACAAAAAGAAAAAGGAAGTAAATAATTCCAACAAAAACTCATAAAATCATACTTCAACTTGTAGTTTTTACAAGGAAAAAATTACAAACCCTCATATACAATTGCAAACCCTCCAAATTATAATTTTTGAACGAAAAAATTGTAAACCCTCTCTCAATTATAATTTTTGGACTGAAAAAATGCAAATCCTCTCTCAATTGCAATTTTTGGACGAAAAAATTGCAAACCCTATCTCAATTGCAATTTTTGGACGGGAAAATTGCAAACTCTCTCAACAAAATATTTTTATTAACGGAAAAATAGAAAACCCTCTTTAAACACACAACTACCGAAATCACCAAAACACTAAAAAAAACTACATTTTGTTGTTGTGTTAAAAACTAAAACTAACTATCTATATTTATATTAATACTCAAATTCTATTTTTTTTCAACTACCCGATGTGGGACTTGAATGGATATACTATTTGATCCAACTTTCTGGAAGCAACTCCCAGATCCTTCATGTCGAACTCCTTATCGAGTTCAGCCTTCACAAACTGGTGTTTTATGTAAAAAATAAATTAAATTAATCATAAAATTTAAATACCACAATCCATCCCCTTCCCCTCTTGTGTTTGGAGTAGCTTTTTCAACAAGTGGCACCACATCCTAATTTTTATTGAATATTAACCGTCCCAGGAGGTAGGAAATAACTTTAAGTTACTCGTCAAACAAACCTTCATCCTTTAATGGAGAAGGGTATAGTTTCTTGAAAGAGAATATGAAGTTTTTCATCGAAGGGGTGAACTTTGGTATTTTGAAGGTGTGAAGAAGGTTCATTTGTTCCTACACATGAAGTTAGTGGTGTTGTAGTAAGCATACCTAAAATTAATTAGACCAAAGTTGATACAGAAAATGTGTGGCAATTTGAAGGAGAAAATCATCATCACCACGCTCTTGGTTTTGATGAATCTTTGTGAGTTTCTCACTATGAGACTGCAAAAGAAACGTGTGACATCTTCTTAATTACCGGTTAAGGAACTACTGAGGTAAAAAGAGCAGAGTTGGGCACATTAATATATGAGTATAAACTTTTCATAATGAAACCTGAAGAAAACATTAGTCAAATTGAAACACATTTTACCCATATCATGAGTCATATGAGAACTCTGAGAAGGATATTTTCAAATGAGGGTTTGGTTGTGAAAATTCTTAAATGCCTAAACCGTAGTTTGCAACTTAAAAATACTACAATATTTTAATCTAGGGATTTATCAACCATAGACATACATATTATTTTTGGTAAATTACAAGAACATGAGATGAAGGTGAAGAGACTTGCTATGAATGAGGAATGAGATTAGAAGAATAAAAGTCTAGATCTTAAAGCCAAAGATTCCAAATTCGATGGTGACATCTCACTCGTGGCGAGAAACAACAAGAAGATCAAAATCAAAATGAAGTAAAATCTTTATTCACTCTTACATGTTATAAAAGTGGAAAGAAATGGCATATCAAACTAAACTACCCTATAAGCGAAAGAGCGAATAAAAAAAAGATTCAAGAAACCTCGGAAAATTACAAAGAAGATTTACATCACTTGGGATGACAATGACATTGAGTCATTAGATATTGAAGAATCCAATATTTGTCACATAGCATATAATCTAGACGATGAGGTAACCTCTTGCTTTTCTTATTAAGATTTATTCACATTTGTAAAAATCTAATAAAGGAAACAAATAAATTATAACAAATTGTCTCTACCTTCAAGGATGTTATTTCTTCCCTTGAATTGAAAACAATAACTTATTGGAAGAAATAGAAAATCTTAGGGAGAGACAAAATGATCTAGTCCAAAACTCGTCCCTTTCTAACAAAGAATTGGATTGATTTGTCAAGGGCGATAAATGTGATATTTTAAAAAATGAAATTGGTGATCTTAAAGAAAACCTTATTAAGTTCATTAAAGGAAAAGATAACTTGAATCTTTTGTTGGGAAACTAAAGAGCTTCCTGCAATAAGGGAGATCTTGTCTATGAACACAAGAATAATAGTAAAAACTTAAGTAATATTTAAAATGCTCAATCTGCATCTCATTGCAAAATATAAAATGCAATTATTCCAATAAAGATGGCCATATTGCTATGTTTTGTTTTATTAAAAAGAGTCTTGGGAGCAAACAAG